AAGCCAGTAAGCAGCATTCCTCCATGGCCTGTGCTCCAGCTCCTGCCTCCAGGTTCCTGCCCTGAGTTCCTACCTTGAGCTCCAGGATGAACTGTGACCTGGGATATGTAAGCTAAATAAACCCTTTCCTCCCCAAGTTGGTAGTGGTCAGAGTGTTTTGTCACAGCAATGAAGAAACAAACTAAGACAGGGGCCAAGAGAGGTGGATCTTCCCCTGTGCCCAGGGTAGGCTGCAGAGACCCCAGGGAGACCTCTGAAGCTCTGCTTCCCCTCCTCTAGGCAGTATTCTTGGTCTTCATCCCTACCTGATGGGCACCCTCACCTTGTGTACTACTGCACGCTCTAGGAATGCTACCCTGGGCCTACTCTCACTCAGCTACCCAACCACCATTTGCATCTAGTGTCAGGGCCCAGCACAGTGCTAGCATCCAAGCAACATCCTCCGTCTACCCTGGTTAACCAGATGAATAGAGAATGCCCCAGTGCCTGTGAGAGCCAGTTTAACAGTGGGGAGAACATACGGTTTCAGAGGAAATCTGGGCTCCATCGTAGCTCCACCAATAGCTGTGTGGAAACCTGGGTAGGTTTCCTAGTCTTTCTGTATTATGAGTTTCCTCATCTGCTTATTAGGATCAGTCCAGCATCACTGGGTTGCCTTTAACACTTCAACCCCTGGTTTTACAGAACAGCAGCTCAGAGAAGGGCAGCGACTTATCCAAGGTCATGCAGCAAGTCTGGTAGAAAGGCAGCCCCACCCTGCTGACCTACTGAGTCAGGAATGAGCAGCGGGTTGTGGAGTAGTTGTAGTTCCAGCTCCAGGCTGGGGGTGGGGATAGGGGGACAGGACAGGCTACAGAGACTGTTGGTGGAGAGGTGGCCTAGAGGCCACAAATTCCGGGCAGGGGCTGGGGCCTGCATTCTCAGCTGGGCTGAGAACTGACAGGCATGCCATAGGCGGTCCTAGAAGCCCAACTCTGCATGATCTCAGGCTGGGCCCAGCCCTCTGTGTGCTGGCCTTGGCACTCAAGGTCTCTGCAGGCAGCCTGAGCTGTGCTTAACCCTGGAAGTGCACAGGCTAGGACTGCCTGCTGGCTCACAGGCACAGCATGAAGTCACACCATGGAGCCTGGGGGCTGGTGAAGGCAGGAGTGTGATCCTTGTCATGTGGCTGCCCAGAAAGCTTGGAATTGGCCTTCCAGACGCCCAGGTCCCCTCCACCTTGTCCTTACCCCTCCATCTTCTTAGTGACCCCGTAGGCAGGCCTCATTCTAGAAACTGCTCCTGTGTATCTACGAGGCTGAGGTCAACTCCATCACATAGCCCACCTGTCACCTGTCACCTATCACTCATCCACAGGCCCTACTGGCAGCATCAGTGACCCCATGACAACTCAGAGAACAGATTCTCCCCTTACTAAAGATGATGAGATGTGGTTCAGAGAAGGTGTCAGTAGTCTTGAGGCCACAAAGAAAGAGGCAAAGTCAGAAACACCCTAGAGCCTGGGCCAGGTTGTTCACACCCTTAACCCTGTAATGTTCACTAGTTCATTCAGTGTGCCAGTGCCTTTTACCAAGTTCCAGCCACAAGACAGCTTGTCACGGCCTTAAGGATACCCTTTCCTCTCTATTAGCCTTTGCAGCTGTGATGGCCAGAGATCTGCCTAGTGGGTGGCTCACCCAAGCTTTGGGGCTTCACCTACCTGAGTGAACCAGGCCACATCCTCCATAGGGATGAGTAGGGCTGGGGATTGTTGTACAGAGCCAGACCTCTGGGGCCCACCAGGTCAGCTTTGGCAACCCAGCACCTGGAGCCTCTACTGCATCAAGGATGGAATTAAATATCTACTAGGAATAAAAATTCAGTTTCCAGTGGCTGGCACTCAGGTATGGCCCTCTGCAGTCATCATCTGTCCCATGCCCCTTGTGATAGCCCAGGAACTTAGAGTTGAGTTGAGCCCTAAGCCTCTGTTTTCCATGAGCTGATGAGAACAGTGCATTTCAAGGGGTCTGATGGGCTGTGAAAGTACTCTGCCCAGTGCAGAGAACTCTTAAGAGGTTTCAGCAGCACCAGCTGGAGGCTCTGGGGCACAGAAGGCTCCAGGCACCCCACCTTGGAAGCTTGCTATGTAGACAGAAATGGGGGCAAGCAAGGGGGAGTCTGGACAAGAGGCTCTGCAAACAGAAGGCTCTGGACTTCACTGGAGCCACACTGCTGTTGAGTCTTCTTTTCCCCTGTCCCTTGTTACACACGATGCCTGACCTGGTGGACCTGAAAAAGACCAAAACCCAGGCCGCCGAATTTGGCAGGGACAGAGCTGGAAAGCAGTTCTGTAGGGGAGGCTGGAACAGCACACCTAAGGGGAGCCTCCTAGCCAACACCAATGCAGCCTGTTCTCAGCTGCTTGGGACAAGTTGGACCTCAGCACCACAGAGCCTACTGTTAAGGAAGGGGGCCACCAGTACTCTTGTGACATATGAGGCATAGAGGTGAAGGGATCTTGAGCAAGATTACTAGGCCTGTAAGTAGTGAAGCTAGCATACCCACTTGATTGCTTCCACTTCATGCCATGATTCTAGGCAGATCTAGCTTCTTGGGTTGACCTATGTATGGAACATTGGCCCTACTCCGCCAACACCAACTTGAAATTTTTAAGAATTTATGTACAACTGGGGCTGGAGAGATGGCTCAGCGGTTAAGAGTACTGACTGCTCTTGCAGAGTACCCGGGTTCGATTCCCAGCACCCACACAGAGGCTATGAACCGTCCTTAACTCCAGTTCCAGGGGAATCCGAAGCTCTCTTCTGACTTCTGTGGCATTGCACGACCTGGGTACACTCACATATATGCAGGCAATACACTCATATAATAATAATAATAGAATTTATGGACAACTGACTGATTTTTCACTTTTTAAGTGATATAGCTGGTCTGCAAGTAATAGAGCTGGGCCTGATTGCAGTAGATTCTGATGGGCACTGTTGGGTGCAGGTTTGAAGGGCTGTGAATTAACTTTCACTTCCCTGGGACTCTGCAGGAGCTGTGCCCCCTGCTTGGTCTTCCTTTTCCCTCTGTATCATCTCTTCTTCCCAGGCCCAGCTCAACTGTCATCTCCCAGGGTTCACTTCTAGGTTTCCTCCCCGAACACCAATGCTACCCCGATGCCAGGTTGACTCTGCCACTCCCTATGCCAGCATTGCCCAGCTCAGCGCTGTGAGAAGTTAAAGGACCTGCACTGGTCTGACCATAGCCTACTTCTCCATAAGGCCAAGGGCCCCTTCAGACCTCTTGGGGACCCTGGAGCTTCCAGCTGGCCATGTATCAAAGGACAATTCTAAGGACATGTGACAAAGGGTTCTTGGAGAAAATGTTTCTAGATCATTCTAGATAGCAGGACTCAGAGAAAAATCCAGCTTTGTATTTGAAAGAAACTGGCAAACACCCATGGGACACTGGGCCAGAACTAGAGCCCAGGTAAGCCCAGAGTGCCGTGGGACCCCTCCAACATGAAGGGACCCCATCAGGAAGGAGGGTGGAGCAGACTTAGATGGGGTGTGGTTAATCCATACCAATTCTGGCTTTGTCACTTCCTATCTGTCAGCCCGCCCTTTCTGGGCCTCAGTTTCCTCATCTGCAAAGTAAGCCTGAAATGGCCTGCATACAGAGGGAACTAGGCCAGCTCTCCTTTTGCCTTGAGTTGGTAGAGAGCCAGCACTTCTGGGAACACTCAACCCTACCCCCAAGAAGGAGCCAGAGTGGGTTGAGAAGGACAGGGCTCAAGGGTGTCCAGATCTGAATTTGAGGCCGGGCGTCGTGGCACACACTTTTAATCCCAGCACTCAGGAGGCAGAGGCAGGCGAATCTCTGTGAGTTCAAGGGCAGCTTGGTCTACATAACAAGTTCCAGTTCAGCCTGAATCCTGTAGCTTCATGTGAGGTACTTACTATCCAGGGCTCAGTTCTTTAACTGCACAGCGGTGATGATGACAGCCACTCCCTCAAGGGCAGTTATGAAGGGGAAATGCTTGGCATAGTACCTATGTGCAATCAAGTGCCCAGAGAAGCAGAGGACATTACTGTTACTGTGACTGTTATTATTTCCATCTACTAGAGAGGAAAGCAGAGCCCTCCAGGTTCACAGCCACAAGACAAGTTCCAGCCAGGTTCACAGCCTGAAGGACAAGCCTACACAGGGCATTGACAATGGAATAAAGACACAAGTCCACGTTCCAGTCACATAACCCTGTCCATCTCTCAAAGGCAGATGCTCAGTGCCAACATGGCTAGCCTATCTACTCACCTGTCGAGGCTTCTGCCAGTGGACCAGAATTCAAGGCTCCTGTGATGTCAGGTAAGGAGGTTGTGTAGAAGGACGTGGTGAGCAGGCTCTATGCTATCTGAGTATAGTGGCCACAAGTCCTGTGAAAGACAACAGAGGGAACAATGAACTCTAGATTCAGGCCCACAGGCAGTTCCCCCAGTCCCCCATCTGGTAAGTGGAGCCCCAGACCCAAGGGGAGCTCCATAGAAACTGGGGTCTGTAGTCCCTATTAGAAAGGAACTTCAGACCTGAGATCCCAGAACCAGCTTGGGGTCTCTGGAGACAGACAGCAGCAGTCACACGTCACACTGCCACACCCATGCCACCACCACCATGTCTCGCCAGCTGGCCTCCTGGTCCCTAGCTCCCTGTCCCCTTGTCTGTGTCTTTCCAAGTCTCAGTAGACTTGGAGTACCTGCTCAGATGCTTTGGGACGCCCTCTCTGACTGCCCTCATCTGGTCCCTGCTGGTTCTTCAGCAGGCTTTGGGACTACTTGACCAGGCTAAAGAGAGGACATTTGGCCAGGAGTGGGAGTTGGGGGTGGGCACAGGGATGACGACATTGATACTTTCTCCGTTATCCTACAAATGAGGAAATTGAGGTCCTGATGGGCACACTCTCCTCTAGGGTCCCCCAGTAAACAAGAGAGACAATGCTGCAGGGAAGCTGTCTCTCAGTTCCCCCAGCCTGGAGGCCTGAGACTTGGGCAGCATGGGAGCCTCTGGCAGCATCTCTACGGCAGAGACACCCATCTACACCCAGTAGACCTTTCTAAAACCTCCTTCCCAACTCTGAAACACTGCTGGTGGGGCACACACAAGCATTGCTGCTTTGGAAGAAGGTATGAAAATGATCTGGTGGCTTAGGCATCAGTGCCAAGCACAACGGCCCCAGAGGAAACACTTTCCGAATGACCATCAGCCACAGAATGGATAAGCACATGCATCACATACATTCCCTCAAAGCATCCAGAGGGTGTGACCCACAATTATATCCATCAACACACATAAATCCCACCAATAGAACATTGATCTGGAAGCCAGACGCAGGAGAGAATACACTTAGAGATCCATTTAGACCAAGGTCAAGAAGAGGTAAGGGGACTGGAGACCAGTAGTGAATCAAACACAGTCACAGTATCTGTTATCAAGGTGAGGAGTCCTTTCTCTATCCATGATCCTGGGTGGGCCTTTGGACTTGCTTTGGCCAATAGGATTCAGCAAAAGTGGGTTTGCTAAGGCATAGAGGCCATGCCTCAAGAGGGTCTACCCTTCTGACCTTGACTCTCAGAAAACCTTAGGCCATAGTAAAAAGCATTATTCCATTGGAGGTCAAAGTAAGGCCTGGCCAATAGCCCTGTCCACTGCCAGGTGGGGTTAGAGGCCTTTACCTCAGGTGACTGGAGACATAGGAGACCCAGAGAAACCAGGAGAGGAACTGCCCAGCCGAAGTGGGGGCTCTTCCAGGCCACTTGTCTGGGGGTACAACAGGTAACTGAGAGCAAGCCATTGGAAGTCAGAATCCTTTGTCCCTGGGTGAGTGGTGCCTGGAAGGCAAAAGGGGCCTTCTAGAGGTTGTGGAATGTTGTATTTCTTGATGAAAAGGTGGTTACAGAAACATGTTCACTTTGAGACAATGCATCAAACTACACAAGAAGTCCAGGACACCTTTCTGAATGGATGTAAAGCTTGAACAGCAGCTGAAACCAAACCAATCCTGAGGCTCCAGCCTGAGTGACAGGTCCAGCCTCTCCCTGGTCTCCCTGGTCTGCTACCCTACCTCGTTACTGTCCATACCCGACAGCTGCCTCATCTTGGAGACTGGGATGCACTTCCCACCATGCTAGGTGGAACCTCCTCCAGGAAGCCTTCCCTGACCTCCCTTATGGGGCCTACACACTCATAGCTCTGGGTAGAGGAGGCAGAGCCTACCTTGGGAAGGGTTAAGTCTCTTTCTTCTGGCTCTGAAGACTTCAAGCAGAGACCAGTCAGGGTTGGGTAGCCCACTCTATCACCTTTCTCCAAGGGTGGGGACCCCCACAGCTATACTGTGATGATCGGTCTCCAGGGGGTTGGGGACATAGGGGACACAGATCATAAACCACCACACAGGGCAACACTCTTCCAGGGCCAGGCTCCTCTTATAAAGACTGGAGGTAAGGCTGAACTTGGGGGTGCAAAAGAGAGTTTCTATAGTGGAGGGATTTGTGGGGTTCCCTGTTTTGCAATAGATGATGAGCCCAATAATGTGTGCCAATCCGGCCATAATTACCTATTAAAATAAGATTACAAGAACCTTGAGGAGCAGAGGAAGAGGTGTGGAGTGAGGCAGGGACATCTACTACTGGACAACTCTTCAGTATAGCCCTCTAGACCTAGAGCAGGATCTCAGCTGACCCCCCAACGCTAGGGTCTTGGCCCAGACTCCTTCCTAATGGGCCTCTTGTTCTCAACTTCCAAGTTCCAGCTCTATTCTAAATGCATGTATGACCTTTGAAAGATCTACTAAGTCAACCATCTTTGGTAGGTCAGTTTTCCCTCTTCAGGAGGGGACATGAGCCCCAATAGGCCAAAGTGGTTGTGAGGTCCCAGGTCTTTCTGTCTTCCTCAGGGTCCCCACTGTGCCAGCAACAGTTTCTGCTTGTGCTGAGGTGACTGATGAAGCTACCTAAGTCCGATACTCACAGGTCACAGTGCCTGTTCCCTGTCCCCTGCCTCAGACATCCTTTGCTAAGAAAGGAAGCTTCCTGCCAAACAGAGAGACCCAAGAGTGGCCTGGCTGGTGAGGAAAGGATACCAAGTCCCTAGGGAGGAGGATTTGTTCTATGACAAATTTGTTCATCTCTATGTGGTAGAGATGACAGCCACACAAGAGCAGGTGGAGAGGCAGGTGTCTGCGTCTAGTGGGGTTGAGGGGAGTGAGTATGCTATCTTTAGAGGTATGCAAGCAGAGAGAGAGGGTGCCATGAGGCTATGGGTGCTACAGGCATCAAAAGCTAGACTTTGATTTCCCAAACTCTTCTGAGGACCAAATCACTCGGATGATCACTGAGCCTATAGTGCCCCATCTTTTTCCCTGGAGAGAATGTGGATCTGGAAGACAGGCCTAGAAATTTAAATTGTGAACAGGCCCTCCCAGATGATCCTTGGCGACTGGAAAGATGGAGAGCACTACCGGGTACCCTTCCAGGTCCCTCTGGGTCCAGAGATGATCAGTTCTCCAACTCCCGCTCTCCTTTTTCCCAAACCCACCTAAAGATACCAGCCCTCCAGGGCAGTGACCTGACTACATCATTAACAATTATTTAAAAGCTTTAGGAGAGGCACTCATCCCATGGTGGTACCAGCCTAGCTCCTTCCTAGCCCCTGAGCCCCTAGAGCCACAAGCTTAGCATGGGGTAGGAGTAGGGAGCGACAGCTGTTCAGCTGCTGTTCACTGAGGCCCCGGAAAAGCAATTATCTTACACTCTTAGCAGAAAAGCACTGGCTTTTACCCGCCCCTTTCCTCCCTCCTCCCTCCTCCTCCTCCCTCCTCCTCCTCCTCCTCCTCCTCCACACACACACACACACACACACACACACACACACACACACAGAGTCACCCAGACCAAGATGCTGTGGTGACCCTATATCCATCGCCCCCCCACCCCAGCTTCTAGTCTTGCTCCAGCTCCACCTCCATCCTTCGAGCACACTTCCAACACTTAAATCATTTAGCCGGCTAAACCGGAGACGGCAAAATGGGTGCTATTTCTTAAAAACATACAGAGAGCGTATTAAATTATTGATAGCCATTAAACAGGGGGAAAAATTAAACAGCTCTCAGCCCTTATCAATCATTCATGCAGTTTCCACTGGGGTGTTTTCTGGAGTGATCACTTGGGCAGCCAGGGGAGCTGGCTCCTGCCGACAGGGAAGGCAGAGGCTGGAGAGAGGCCAGCAGGAGGGGCGGCCCCAGCCCCAGCAGTCACACTGGGCAGGGGCATGTGGGGGCAGGAGGTGAGGCTGTGCACTTACACATGTGCCACGCTCTTCTCTGCCCCACACCATTAACAAAGACAGACTCCAATACCGCCTGCAGGAGCCTCTTAATTAAATTCAGTCTGCTTTTATTAGGCACCTACTATATATCAGGCCTGCTGGATGCACAGATAAACAAACCTCAAGGCCCTGGGGGTTAATGGGGGAGCCCACTGCAGGAAAATCGGACTGTACTACATAGTGATGAAGCGGGAACTAGAGATACAAAGGAAGGTGACGCAGAGAAGAGGGGACAACCCTGGCAGAACAGAGCTGTCAAGGAAGGCTTTTCCAAAGTAATTCCTGGGTAAATTCTTAGATGGAGAGCAGAAAACTGTCCCGAGGAAGTGGCACTTTAAGGGGACAGCCGAAGTAAAGGCTGAACAGAGCCCTGTCCTGCTTGGGTGGCAGTTACTGGCCAAGTGGGACAGAAGCTTGGATACAGAGAGCATAGTCAGTGGTGACCCAGCCCCTCCTCTAGACACAAGAAGGACAGCCAAGGACAGCACCCTCAATCAGGCAGGTGCTTGGGGTTCACCCCAGCTTCCCAAGCCAGTAGCTCTGCCACCCTGGTACGGCAGATCCATTTCCTGGCTCTAATTCAGGACACCTAAGTCAGTGTGACGCAGGCCCCAGGGACTGGAGGCCCAAGGCCCTGCTGCATTCAGCCACAGACAGGCCTGGCAATGTTACCCTCAGGAGACGGCTCCCCACTGCTGCTTCACCATGCCAAGGAGCCAAACACCAAGGCTGTGGGAGCTAGCAGACACCCAATACTGTCCCACCTCAGTGCAGGGACCATCCACAGCCAGAGGCCATGTGAACATCCCAGACCGAGCTGGACTGCTCAGTCTCACCCTGCCCAGCCTGCCCATCCCTGCCCAGCACACAGTGGTCTCTGCCTTCTTGTGTGCCTTTCAGGGCTCTCACTCGCTGGGAGTCGAGCTGCAGCGGTAGAGGCCCTGCCAAGTGTGGATTGCACCCTCGCCAGAGCAAGCTGCTGTCTCGGGAAACAGTCTGAGGGGAGCAGCTGTTTACCACCACGCTGAGGGCTGTCAAGACATCACCAGGAGAAATT